CGACACAACACAACACGACACGTCACAACATGGTGACGATGCACGATTATACGAACTCTTCGTTCAATTACGTGATAGATAGATAGATAGATAGATGTATTTATATACTTACTTATGTATTATACAAGAACGAATACTCATTCGAGATTCACGCGTGTCGCAAACAAGACCACTGTGTTTACCTTATATAGAATATTATATGTAACTTTGACTGCGTTAGCGGTAACAAAGGATAAAGAGAGATATATGTTGAAGTGTACATACATACTGGGCGTTCCAGAATTATTGATATAAATTTTCAAATATTATATAATGAGTAGTTACAGTGTTCGCGTAAATCTGAGTATCTAATAATTTATTAGGTTGTTCGTAAAGTAATTACTTTAATCGCGTTTACTGATACTAAATCTTACTCTCTAAATTTTCAAATTTATTTTACATTGTAACAACGGATATCCGAGAAGTTACTTAAAACCTTCTTGTGTTTTGATTTATCAAATAGTTTTTCTTTTTTTGTAGAGATTATATTAGAAATGAAAAATCATAGACAATATTTTTACAATAAAGGAACTGGTGGAAATACTAATCGTCGCATATCAACGCGTGAAATAACTGAGAAGTTTAATTTATTCAATTTGACAAGTTACGATCTTTTAAAACCTCTTAAATTGTAAATAGGAAAAAATTGTCTTTTATTTATCATTAAATAAATGTAATTACTTTCCGAATAACAGTAATAGTATTCTAAAGTTCTACTATTCGCATAATACATTATCAAAATGTTGTATTATCAGAAAACTGTGTATCCTTTCCTGATTCTATCCATTCCCGAACCCTTATCCTACATTTTTCTGATTGTGTTATTTATTATCATCTATCAGTCTTTTTGCTTTATTATATTTTTTATTATATCTTTCTATACTGCATTGTATTTGATTATATTTTCTAAATACATGTTAATATAATCATAATAACAAATTAGTATTTTACTTTATGAAAATTCTCTCTTGCATATTAACAATTATGTTTTCCTATTCATTCGGTTATCGAAAGTTTTACTGTATTTAATATTAAACTTTTAATTCACTGTCGTAATAATTCGAAAGAAAAGAGAAACTATCTCAACGTTAACAGCAACTCATTTATTTAATTTTAATGTTTCAATGGTACGTAACGTTGAAGTTAAATACTTAATGTTATGCATACATCCAGATATTTTTAAAATCCTATTTAATTTATCATCATAAAATTATTTATTAATTAATGTAAAAAGTTTATAATAGTTCTTTTAAGCTCAATAATTCGAAAGTTATCAACAATCGAGGAAATAAATAACGTTACGAATTTTTATCTAATTTTCAATTAATTCCTGAATGGAAATATTACGATATTTATTATTTTTCATTTGACAAAAAATTTAACGCTCGCTTCAAGGTTAACTTTGTTCTCTTTTAAATGAGAATCTACATTTTACATAATTGCAACATGTTCCGGGTAAAAAGACAAATAAATGTAGTCGGAAATGTTTTTTCCATTTCAGATTTAAGTAAAATTGGGTTACTTAGAGATTAATTACTACATATTAGTGAAATATTTCAGAGAATGGTATTAAAACAATTATAAAATCTGTTCTAAATTACGACCACCATTTCTGACACAAAAAGTATATATTGTATAATTAAACGAATAAATTCTTCGAAACATCTGCGAACGATTATATTAAGCTCATGGCGAGTTAAAATAATTCTAAAAACTAATCAACTCTCTTATCTTTTTTTTAATGAAAATAATATGTATCAAACTCGACGCGATTGATTCAATCAAAACTCCAGATACCAAAATCAACTGATATTCAAATAATAATTAGATTAACAACGTATAATTTCAAATTTAAATTGTATTATCACGATAATGAAGAACTTCCTAAAAAAATAATCTTTAATTTCATGTTTTCTATAACATTCGACAAATAGGAATAGAAATTTTGAAATACCCTGCATATATGTATAAATATATATATAACATAATACACACATGGTATAAAAGCCATATCGATTTCCCCATTGTCTCCTGCGGATATTAACACGCCTATCGAACGCATCTATGTTCTCTCTTGACACGCTACAACACGTTACAATAGAAAAGAGAAATTTTTAATAACGGAATACGAAAAAGACAAAAGAATAGGAAAACAAATCCTATAGCAAACTTATAGTTCTATCTCTATTTCCTATCTCACTTTATCTCTTTCTTTCTCTTTCTCTCTCTCTCTCTCTTTCTCTTTTTTACTCTGTGCTTTACATACAACCCCGAGGAAACTACACCCTTGAGTCAGTTTTATGACACTTTCCGCACGCACGACTTTTACCCTCTATTCCTTTCTCTCTCTCTCACATACTTTTTTACTCTCTTACTCTTTCTATTTCATTCTTTTATATATAGGGGTATACATAGTAGATTTATGAAGATATATAAATATATATATATATGTATATATATTCTATATGTGTGTGTATATATAAACGTATGTATATGTATATTAAATAAAATATATATATTTATATAAAACTGTTTCATTTTTTTGATCACTTGAAAATAATTGAATACATGTAAAACTTCACCCTTATTTTTCTTGGAAACAGTTGACAATAAGTATTGTATGTTATATGTGGCCCTAATGTACCCTTACAGCTATGTAGAATTTAAAAAATCTCGATGTCCTGTTAAATGTGTGTTCTCCTTTTGCAAATTATATTTTTTATACATTATAATAATTTGACATTAAAATATACATATGTACCTAAGATTAAAAAGTATAAATTATTATCCAGGAAAAATGTGGCATTCTGAAAAAAAAAAAAAAAGAAGAAGAAAAATTTGTTAAACAAGAATTATCTGATTTAAAATAAGAGATATTTTATGATATTTACCGCTTTTTATTTAATGGGATTCTTTCCAGATTATTTTTCTACGTACTTGTTTTTGTTTTTTTTTTTTTTGGAATTAAACATTGACGCAACCATAACGATATTTCTGTGCAATAAACGAAATTACTTTCCGGACAACCTACTATATAATAAGTCATATATACAGATATACATGGTATATACATATATAATATATATTATATATATGTATACCTTTGATATGAAGCTGGTGTTCTGTGTTTTTATTAACGCTTTATAGACCGACGTCGACGACGTCATCCGTGCAAATAAAAATTCCTATAATCCGTGACGCCGGACTTCCTGCATTTCGAAGTTATATGCGACGTACCTCTTCCTCTCTCTCTCTCTCTCTCTCTTTTTCTTTTTCTATGTTTCTCTGTCTTTATATCTGTTTCTCACTCTACCGAATAAAGCTCGACTCCGACAATTAAAATATTCATATTGTTCGTTTTAATCCTATAGTAGACAACGACGAAAACGCCGACTTTTTGCTGCGTTTCATTTTGGCAAATATCGTTAGAGAAATGCCAGACTAGAAGAACAATTTCGAGTCTCAGTGGCGAGGGATTAAATCGTAACGACAAATTCGTTGTTTTATCTTATTTCCGTTCTCTCTGTGCTCTTGATTGCCCCCTTGTTATACACACATATACATACAAATGTATATATATATAAATGGATATATGTATCTGTGTATACATGGTGCTTAATCGTCGTCGATTTAGCGCTTTACATGATGACCTGTCTCTTTCACTGTCATTCCATCTACTTACATATACTTACATTTGTACAAACCTAAACTTCTACGTGGCTGGGTTGAAAAGTCTTGAGTCTCATTTAGAAACCATTTTTTTCGGTCAAACTCATATCACAATTTGAATAAAATAAAATAAAAGTCTTTTTTGGATATATACATACTTATTTATTACTTATTACATACATAAACACATACATGTATGTACGAATGCTATAAAATTATTCAATAAGAAAAGGTTGTTCGTTTTATTTCTCAAGGTGAGATGGAATCATACAAATTATGAGTTTCCATGTGAACAGATTTATATTTGGTCTTGAAATAATCTTGAAAATGTTCATTGAATTAGAAATAATAATTAATGCTGTTAAAGCTTGTCTTCTTAAAGTACAAATCTTTTACGAAAATAGAACGTTTCCCAGACATTTAAGTGTCTCAATTTAAAAAGCACAATTAAAAGATACAAAACGTATTGTGAAAGATAAAAAAGTTACTTGTATTTTTTGCAGATCGCGATTTCATCATGTCAATTTGTATTTGTTCTCTTTCACGTTTAAAGATTTAATCAATCAGCGTCAATCTTACGAGGGATTATATGGGGCCATCGTTTATTGACCAAAATCTACAAATGTAAACAGATATCTGAATAAATAACCATTATTCTTTTTATCTTCATTTCGATGTTAACTTATTTTCAGAAATATTGAAAAAAAGTTCGATTAAAAATATATCAACCATTTGTTTAAAATATTATGAACAAAAATGTATAAAAATACTGACCCAATGAATGACAACTGTAATTAATTTCTAACATTAATTTGAAAAACAGATCCTTTTTCGGATTCGCGTATTCACATATGAACTTATTTTATAATTACAATTCTAGAAAAATGTTTAAGGAATATTTATCGGTAATCTTTAAATAAAGAAAAACCCCAATGTAAATTATATCACACCACACTTTAAGACGTGTCTACAAAATTATATAAATGTATAAACAATTAATTTTCATATTTAACCGCCTGCGCAGAATATTTTGCGCGCAACGAAAGAAAATATATTATATTCGATATATTTCGATTGAATCGTTTGACCTTCTATTTATGGGGACCGACGATATGATATAGTATTACATAGCATATATATAATAACATACTTTACTTTTCATAACAACGTCTTCTTCCTCGCAAAAAGTCATCGTTTGTTGTTCGTAGGTAGTTGTGTTCGTTGATTGAGAGAGACGCATGCGCGTGTGTAGGTATACGTTAGTGGTTCTGTTAGTGCGTAAGTCGTGTTGTAATCGTTATCTTCTCGCTCGAAAGAGAACTGTGCCGGCAAGAGAAGAAGCTTGAGATAATTCGTAATAAGAAAAAAAAACGCGTTAATAAATTTCACGCCGAAATTTTAATTGGTTCTTATCGTTGTTGTCGCTTGTGGTAGTGATAAATGTTACTAAAAGTAACACAATTACCGGTAGAAGCCAAATAAAAACATGGACGAAAAGCAGAGAGAGTCATTCCTGTTCGATAAATCCTACAGGTAACATCTATTCAACTTCAACAGTTTTACAGGAGTCGCTACCAGCGCTTATTCTTAGTCGATGGTATACCATCGATCGATTTTCTCTATTACGTACGTTTCTATGTTTTTTCTTTTTTCTTTTTTTTTATTCCTTTTTATTCCCTTTTTTTCATGTTTTTGGTTAACAACCCTCGCTGTATAAATTTTCTCCAACCCTTCTTGATATTTTTTTCTCTCCCTCGCCCTATCGCTCTCTCTCTCTCTCTCTCTTTCACACACACACACACACGCACACTATTTTCCCTTTTTTTTCTCTCGCCTTTCGTTGCAACGCCTGATAGCATCGATCAAACGTTACGATAGCGGAAACGTTTAACGATTGTTGTTTTTATTTATTGTTTTTTGTTTTATGTTTAACGTACGTTTTATTTCATGTTTAGAAATTTTTCCTAGATAGATTGATGTGCTAAATGGTATTTTGAAATGTTGATTACAGATTTGTCAAAATTTGATTCGATCGAACGTGTCGATGCGCATGTAATTAAATGAATTTGATTTCTTTTTTCTTGTTATCAAGAATTTAATAAGATTAGATTAAATTAAAGAGATGTCCGAAAGGCAGGATTTCAAACGTGTGTCGATAAAAGCGGAATTCCAAGTGAAAGGCGGTATATACGAATTTATAAAGAAAACGAATGAATATGTACGAAATTCATGATTATTTAGTTTTATTTTTGATTACTAAACGTACTGGTACGATGAAAAGACAGATGCCGGAATGGTGGAATATTAAAATTTTTCGAAATTACATATGTATTTTGGTCGTATCTATTTAGCATGTAACTGTATAAGTTTGATACAACGTACAGGATGAGACCAAAATTTCTACATTTATTTTAAAAGTAAATGAATTTCTTTTCAAAACTATTTTATACTCCATTTCTATTCTTTCAAATAATAAAATATTTATGACTCATTTAATTAATATTTATTATAATTGTTAACCCATTTAATCGATTTATAATCTACTTTTTCAACTTCTGAATTATGTATTTTGAAGAAATTTTTTTTAACAAATGAATCTGGATGAAAATGGAAAGTTCGTGCCAATTTTGAAGGAATTAAATTAAATGCAACGCATTTAAGTTTTTTGGTATATATTTATTAAATTATATAAGTGCCACTTGCAAATTCCGTCCTTCCAGAACTTCTCAGGTTTTTTCAGCAAAAAACTTTTCTATATAATTTTTTATCTCGACCGAAAATCGCCACAAACTTTCCACAGATAGCCTAATAATAATTAAATTATTAATTATTTATTATTTTTTAAACTATTTTAGTTATCTAAACTTGTAAATGTAAGTAGATACGTGTCGCAAACAACGTAGTTAAAAAAGATTACATGTCATATGATCTTTTGAAAGAACATGACATAACACTTATGTTAGTATGAATGATATTCCATTTAGGAATAATTATGAATGAAAAGGGTCCTATTCAAAAATGATGATCAATTGAAGTGACAAAAAGTAAATATATCCCAACACTTCTGTCATATGCAACGAAAATTTCATTTTGATACGTTGAAAATAAATAGACGCGACATTTTCGAACAAACGAATTAACGAATAAACGGATATAGACAGACGAACGAAAGCATATTTTTCTCTTGTATAAAATTATTTTAGATTCTCACGAGTATCAATACGCTACTCGTTATGTCGTCATCATGAATATGCCACAATGTTCTACTTCTAAACAAGAACAATAGTCCAACTGTTCGTACGAGTATTCAAAGTGTTTCGTTTCAAAGTAACTTCTTTTAATTGTAATTAAACAACTTTTCGTTATAAAATATTAACCAGAAACGGTTCCCAAATTGAGATAATTTGATGATGAAAGAAATAAGGAATTAAAACAATTTTAATATGAACAACAACTCATTTATTAAATTTGTATATCGTGTAACTTTAAAGTAACACACTTTAAAACATATAACACACTAAAAATAATTGGTTAATTCATGAACGTAGTTTTGAAAATTGATAAAAACTGTTCATAATTAAAAGCCGCCATTATTGTTGATACAGAGAACAGACAATGTATAACGTCGTATAATTGAACGACGAAATTCTTCGAAATAATAACGAACAATTACAAGGATCATCAAAAGCAAGAATAATTCCAGTAATTAATTAACTCTTATTCTCTATTGATATGCGTCCCATAAACGATTGATTTAACATGAGCCCAGATATCAGAATCAATTGGGGTCGTATGATAAAATCAATAAAGAGTTTCAAATTTCATTGAATTAATTCAATACAATAAGACTTCCAGTTATTAATTAATTACGAAAAAATAATTTCATTTAAACATTCCCAATTATACAAGTGAAAAATAAAAATAATTATTCTGAAACATCCTGTACATGTACTATCAATATTTGGAACAACTAGTTCGAAATACTCAACGAAAGAGCCTATCCGTTCTACTGGAAATCGATGATTCCCCGATACTTGACCGATATTTAGAAAGGAAGTATCGATAACTCGCGAATTACTATGACAATTGTAAATACGTAAATAAGTATGTATATGCCTAACCGTGTATCTAAACGACGCCGATATCATCTTGATATTTGTTTTCGATACTTGCTATCGATTAAAACAATACCCAATATTATCGATACTCATTGGATCGATTATTTTGATGATTAGACGAAATCGTAAATTCAAATTGTTGTTCCTATTTAGTTATTGAAAGTAAAAAATACTTTACTGTACGAGGTTTTTAATTTGTTTTTCTTTTTTTTTTTTTTTAGTATGAGAGCTGTATACATAGGTGGGTTGAAAAATTTTCTGCCGAACATGGAAAAACATTTTTTTTCGATTAAATTCATTTATTTTTTTTTAAATAAAAATTTATATTCGGTTGGAGATCAAAACTTTCCAATTCATCCTCGTTTATTCAATATATTTTAATATATACTGGGTGTAACAAAATAATGCGTAACAAATTTTTATTTCGATAGCGTGAAATTTGAAAAAACAATTTTTCTGACAATTGATTTCCGATTTCAAAGTTTCAATACTATGACATTTAATGTTTCAAGCATTTCATTTAGTGGAATTTTTTGAGGTTGTTCAAAGATCAACTTTGTTTTTTTTTTTTAAATAGAAACTTACACTTTTTATAATGGCAATCTATTTGACGTAAATAAATTTGCTGCCTGAAATATATTTTAATCTCGAACGCGATAAAAGAAATATAAATCATAAAGAGTTAAAATAATAATAATAATAATAATAAATATGTAAATCGATATTAAAACGATTCAGATTCTAAATAACATAAACATATTACTTGATATATATTTCGAAATCTTGCAGATCATACTTATATTAATACACTCTCATAATTTTTCGTAGAATATTTCGAAAAAGGGGGATAAAAAACGGCGGGAAAATCTTAATTATATTCCTCACTGATTGGTCAAATTTTGTTCGAAGATTCGAGAATATTGAATATCGATGAATATTGAGATTACGTAATAATGGCAGTATACACGTGTGTTATTTAGATAGGTTGGAGAGAGAGGGAAAAGAAAGACCGTGAAAGAAAGAGAAGGAAGACGCTACCCTAAGAAAGAAAGAGAAAGATAATAAGATATATGTATACGGAAAGATAGAAAAAGAGAGGATACTACGTCGAAGAAAAGCAGATAGAAAGAGAGAGATGGGTCAGTTCGTATCTGACACCAGGTCTCGCTACGATCGTTCGACAGTGTTGTTTTCTCTTCGCCGGTCGTCAGAAATAACTTGATTTTAAAGGAGAACTCCGTTTCACGTTAAACCATATCTTACATTTATAATATTCAATCGTATTAACGAGTATAAACGTTTGTGCAAATTTTCAAATAAACCGAATACTTCGCTGACATTTTTATTTCCGTTTAGTGACTCACATGGTACGTATATGTATGCGTGGCTATACGTCAATATGTTTTTAAGTTTTATACGATAAAAGAGATAGAAAAAAAGAGAAAAAAAGATTGAATTAATAAAAATTACATAAATATAAATATATATATATATATATAATACTTTATATATAAGTAAATATGTTTTCAGTTTAAAAAAAAAAAAGAGATAAACAAAAATATAATTTTTGAAAATTCTATGGTATGTATACGTGCGTGTGTATATGAGTAAATACATTTTTAAATTGAAAAAACATATGAAATGTACATAATATTTCTATTTAAATATATATAATTATATTTTTATGCGTATAATTATAGAAAATAGTAGACGATAGTTATAATACGATTAGACAACAATTGAACTTGAACCATGTTATTTTGATAGATTATGCTTATGCGTCATTGTTATTGTCATTGGCCATGATTACTTGTACTTCGTGAATCATACGATTTTATGGCACGACATAACCTTTAAGAATCTTCTTTTTAGTATCTTCTCTCTCGCTGTACTTTAATAATATTTTTCTTTACTTGTTTTTAAAAGAAATTTTCTTTTTTTCTCTCTCTATCATTCTCTCTCTCTCTCTCTCTCTCTCTCTCTCTCTCTCTTTCTTTCTTTCTCTCTTCGAACAATTTATTTATTTATTTATATATTCATTTGATCTTGTATATGTGTATGTGTGTATATATGTATTAGAAAATATTCGTGTATTTTATTTTTTTTTATACTATAATTTCTTTTTATTTCATTTTTTTTAAACTTTATATTTTTATGTATTCGTAAATATATGTGTGTATGTATGTGTATGTGTATATATGTATTCAACTTCGCACTAGGAAGATAATTCATTCAAAGGTGTCGATTATTGGGTATTGCGTAATAATAATGAAACACTATTCGCAAATGCTTTTAACCAGATAGAAAATCACCGTGCACGTACAATGTGTTTACTTAATTGAGTGAAACTTCGATCGACCGATAAAACATTTGATCTCGATTAGAATAGGGAGCGTCCTTCCTATAATTCATCCTACTAAATATAAAGACACAGATACACATTACATACAGTGTGTCTCAAAAGTTATGTCTTAACAATGTATGAAACAACAAAAATTGATATTGAATAATTTAATAGAATTACAATATTTTATTGTTGATTTCAAAACATGAATTTACGCTTGGAATGTTGTTACAAAAGTATAAGACTGAAAACAACAAATATCAATAATTAATTTATTAATGGCATTATACAATATTTTATTATTCATTACAAGGTACAAATTTTAAGTTTAATTGTTAAAAAATTATACGATTTTAAATATATCTGTAAAAATAATTAATTATTTTTCAATTTGAGATAAAGCAACATTTAGGACACTTTGTATTTATATTTGATATATATGATTATTTGATAATGATATATATGATTATTTGATGATATCAAATAAGTATATGTACGTGGATCGATGATCGTCATACCTTTTCGTAATTTATTCGTTAATTGAACAAACGGCCTTCGCGGGAAATTGTTTTCGACCATATGTAGGCTGTGCAGCGTAATCAAAAATGGCTGAGTCGTTAAAAATACATGCTGCATACAATACTGATCTATTTTCTCTCTCTTTCTCTCTTTCCACTACGATGACACGATAATCTTTGCCAAGAACGTATTAGATTGTAAGAGAATAAATTCAATGAGTTCTTATGAAGATATTTTAAACGTGAAAATATAAATTTAATCTGTTTCTAATGAATTTAATTTTTAATTCATATTCTAACCTAAGTTTTATTCTAGATTTTATTTTTAAGCTAATTACCTCGGGTCAACCTATTTACCGCTACACATGAGTTTCTTTATATTCTCAGCACACAGTTAGAAAAGTGTTACGGACGATTATTTCTTAAATTACTTATACTTGAGACATTGAATAAAAAAAATTGTTCTCTCTTATAATTTTGCACGTTTCAAAGCTACATTTTTAAAATATTGTATTCATGTATGCATGTAAAATAATGAATAATTATTTTTAAAATTACTTACTCGAGAAATTTTGTTTAATATTATTTTATAAATATTCCCAATTCTTACAAAAAAATAATTTAGATATACTTGGTATGTGTATCCATTTAGTTATTAATTTTACGATCGAACAAATTGATTCCTTATTTTAATATTAAAATTTAATTCTAAACAAAATACAACGATGTGTAGAAATGAACGTTAATACTATTTGAAAATATTTCAAAAAGTGTCAGGATATAATTGCAAATATGTTAATTAATTTTTTACAACACACAATTATAAATAATGAATAAGTAAACAATTGAATTTGTATATACTAAATAAGAAATATGATTCTTATTACAATTTACGTTATAATTTATTTCCTTTTTATTTATTTTTTCAGAGCTTATCACTGAAAACACGTATTACTTGTTATGTACAGTCATCTTTTTATCCATGATCGTCATATATACCTGGAAACACACACACACACAAAGGCACGTACACAAAGACAAATATATACTTACATACTTAATGCTAGTCTTCGCAGTAATAATTTTTATTCACGAGTTATGCTTGCATCCGTCCTTTAAGTTAGCATAATCGTACTCATGAATTCATTCCCATCGTGACGTTCGTTCGTTCAGCATTTTTCGTCCAGCTCAAATTCGCCTATTCGTAAATCTTTAACACACGTATATACGTATATGTATGTGTGTATGTGTATATAATATATACATGCATGTAAATATAAATCTTCCCAAGCGCAAAAGGGACGACAGGATAGCGACACGAACCGCGTTTGGAACGCGCGCGTAGATTTAAACAGTTCCATGATTCGCTGACGCGTTTTCTCGTTCAAGCATATCATGGTGGTATACAATACCATACAGGGTGAGGTATTTCTATGGGAGTTTGTGTCAAAATGATTTGAGATTCACGCGTTTTACCTACGCGAGAGAAATATTTTTTTTCTTAGAGACAAATGTAAGTGTTTGAACAATATACTGAATTCGAAGAATTCTCTTCCACACACATAAACACACACATTTATTTCTATTTTTTTATTATTTAGAATAATTAATTGAAATTATTTATTACATTGGAAGAGAAAAAAAAAAATTAGACAAATTGAAAAACAATTTTTCTTTTATTTCATTTCAATATACAGCGAGTCTGATAAATATTTATTAAGTATACTCTTTTATAAATGTTCTTAATTGGAAAAAAATAATTTCTGTATTATTGTAATTCTTAGATGTGATAGCAAAAAAAAAAAAAAGAAATGCTGAAAAAATGTACTTTTTAAAATCAAAAAGTAGAATAATATATGTTGGGTTAAAAAACTTTATTTTTTTGTTAGAAGTTTAAATATAGATTAATTTCTTTATCAAATATTATAATTACAAACCTTAAAATTCGCGTAACACTTCAAACTGTTTGGTTCACCCAGTACATATAATACAAACACAATGGGAACTCTCATGGTTAAATTTTTTTTCCACTAATTAGAGAGTTCAACGAACCGTTGTGTGTATAATTTCGGTGATAGGAGAATTAAAACGGTCGAATAAACACTATAAGCGACAAATACCTGTAAAATTCTTTGCGCATCGTATATATATATACATTTGTTTTCATTTTATTTTTTTAAATAAAAAAGAATAGACGTAGAGAGGGAGAGAAATAGAAAAAAAAAAAAACAAAATGCTAGAAGAGCAACGCCATTTTATTTTTGGTCTCAGCCATGGAATATAAATAAGAGAATGAGAAAGAATATTCGGTTAGGGGCAAGTGGTCCTTGAAATTAACTGGTTGCTTTAGAAAACGACTTGGAATAACCATTTTTCTTCTTTCTTTTTATTTTTATCTTTTTATCTTTTTGTTTTTTTTCTTTCCTACCCAACAACCTTCGAGTCGAGGCATGATCATTAAGAGAAGACTCCTTGTCCTTACCATACTATTTTTTTTGCAAGTTCAAAGTGTCTCATGGATTCAGAAAAGAAAACGTAACGAGCAATCGCGTTTGTTTCGGGAGTCAAAAGCGGAAGAAAGCTAATTATCCAAAGTAGAGAGGGACACCCCTCTTTTTTTACTTCCTTTTTGTTTTTACTTCGTATACATGATAAAGGAAGACAGAAAGAAAGAAAGAAAGAAAGAAAGAAAGATAGTAAAAAAGAAGAGGGAAGAAAAAGGGGGAAGATAAAATCAGTGAAAATAGGGGATGAGGAGAGGTACAAGGGAGAAAGGAGTTAGCCGAGGGAGGAGATGAAGGGTAGGTGTGGGAGGATCACGTGGGGTGACTTAGGTGGAGCCGAGACGTAAATTCGAGTGGAAAACGTCCGCCCCGAAGGTCTGAAGTCTCTCCCGAAGGCTGAACTCTGACGCATAAAGAAAGACGATATTTGCAAAAAGTATGAATGTCTCGGGTGGAGTTTGAATGCAAATGACTGTCGAGCTCGGCCGTTCCCCAAGAGGAGGAAGAGGATGAACACCGCGACGACTACTACTACAACAACGACGAGTGCTAGGGAATCCTTCCTATGAAATGAGATTTCAAGAGAAAAAAGAGGAAAGAGAGAGAGAGAGAGATAGAAGATTCGCGGCGCCAAAGGCAAGACGACAGCGAAAAATACAGAAGGAAGAGATCGAAAACGGAAAATGTACCGCCTTCGAGCCCGTCCTTTTCTCTCTTCCACCGTTCTCTTTCTTTTTCTTGTCTTTTTTGTTCCCCCCCCTCCCCCCCTCAAGGGAGGACGTCGTCGGTAAAACGGGCAGAGGCCGAAAGCAAACTCTGCGCGGGTGGAAAAGCTCTTGGAATCACTCGACCGTGTGGAACGCCTACCGTGTCGTTCTCCCGGAAAGCTCCTACTATTCCCCATAGCTTCGTTCGTTGTACAACTACCCCCAGTCTCATCCTTTCTCTTTCTCTCTCTTTCTACTTTACTTTACTTTCTTTCTTTCTTGCTTGCTTGATTTTTTTTTTCCTTTCTTTCTTCTTTCTTTCTGCTTCTTGCCAGAGGCACCGACGAGTTCCTCCTTTGTCCGTAGCACTCGTCTATTCCAATGGGGGATAAAAGAGAGAAACGCCATAACGTTCTGCAATGTAATTTACCACCGAGACCAAAACTCACCTCAGCGTGATGATAATCTTTAATATTGGACGCCCGTTACTTCTGTTATTTCTAATACTCCTCTTTCGTTTGTTCATCATTATTTTTCTTAGACTGTCATATTTTGTACGTCATTTAAATATGTCACATTAATTCGTTCGACGATGAGATAATAGATATTGTTAGAAAATGTTTCTATTGTCTTGTTTTAATTCAGATATCAAACGGCAAGAAGGATGTTAGGACTACTCCTGCTTTTAACTTGTCTAACAACATCGACTTACTCTTTGAACGGGGAATTAGTCGAACAAGAATGTCCGGTGGACTGTCACTGTCACTACTTTCGTATCAACTGGGTTACCGATTGCTCGGAAAGCAACCTGACAAGCATACCATATAACGAACTCAGTCCTAATGTCTACATACTTGACATGAATGGCAATAACATACAACACGTTGGATCATTTCCACATGGTATTAAGCTGAGGCGACTGCAGATGGCACATAATCGACTTGCCCAACTCAATTACGAATCTTTCGCTGGACTGACGTATCTCTTGGATGCGGACTTCTCCTACAATGCCATAACGAACGTAGATCCAGAGGCTTTTAGGTAATATGACACACCGTATATGAAACTAGACAGACGTTTAACACGTTAACTCTTATCCTCTAATAGGGACAGTCCAGGTTTGATCACGTTGGAACTTCAGAACAACCCAATAGCCACGGTGGAGGGCCCTTTCCTAAATTGTCGGACACTACTATATTTGGATTTGAATAATTGCGGGATTCATCAACTGAATACACGATTTTTTCATAACACAACGAATCTGAACAAACTCGACTTGTCTTACAATCCCCTTCAAAGGATAGAACCTGGCCCGTTCGACCACTTGACAAATCTCGAGTATCTCCAGTTGAACGGCTGTAACTTGACTCACCTGTCTCCCGATACGTTTGCGCATCTGGAAAATTTACGAGAACTCGAGATGCAGGAGAACGATTTGAAAGAATTGAGTTGGACAAACGTCTTAGCTCCTCTTATTCGTTTGGAGAATCTCAATATAAGGAAAACTTCGATTAATTATTTGCCGAGAGATGCTTTCGCTAAAAATTTGTATCTTCGACAATTGGTATTAGCTGACAACGAACTTCAACATTTGGACGTTGGCAATACTCTTGGTCATAACTTGCACAGCTTGCAATCGTTGGATTTGTCCAATTGTAATCTTCAGGATCGCTTATCCGAAGAAGCTTTTAAAAACGCTAGTAAATTACGAGTATTAAATCTTAGCGGCAATCCAATGTTGGCTGCTGATCTGACTGTAGTCTTACGCCACTTACCTAAGCTTCACAAACTCTCTCTCAGTCATTGTCACTTGCGTAAATTACCGACCGCTTTCGAGGTTTTTGAAAATCTCGAAGAACTCGACATCTCACACAATCCATTATCGGATGCTTTCGTTACTTTGTTAAGTCCATTAAGCTCCTTAGAATTTTTGGATATGTCTTACTGCGACCTCGGCCATGTTGGAAATAATACATTCGCTCAAATGACTTCTCTTAAGAAACTGATACTATCAGGAAACACGCTTCACACTTTGGAGGAAGGCTTATTCGCCAACTTAACGAGATTAGAAAGTTTGGAGATGAATAATTGCGATCTTCGCAACCCGATCGATCTAAGGGTTTTTGGTGATCGCAACATCACAAACGTGATCGAGTTGAAGCTCAGTGGTAATCCACTTAGCGTCCCAGAGAAGGATGCCCTCTTACCAACGCAACTATCCAATCTTGAAATTCTTGATATAAGCGACTGTGGCCTTTCACACTTACACGAGAACGTATTTTCCAAAACAAGAAATATCACTCGATTGAATCTATCTAATAACAAAATATCCGAGGCAAAAGATCTGTCTAGTTTGAAATTATTAAGATCTTTGGAACACTTGGATCTCAGCAATAACTATTTACAATCAATTGATTACAAAATCTTCAAATCAAATCCGAATCTCTTGTCGGTTAATCTCTTAGGTAATCCATTCGTTTGTAATTGCTCGGTCGTAGAAATGTGGGACTGGGCTGAAAAAGTAAAGAATGATCTTCATGTACTAGTTGGTAGTCAGCCTGCCAACTTTGAAACGGGTGGTGAGAAACTTCGTAAGAGTTTAACTTGCACTTACGACGACAAGACTTATCGAACCGTTATGGATCAAAGTAGACCGTTCGTTCGTAAGGGTGATCTTACACCTAATCGCACATGGGCGAAATTCATTCGCGAATCGAATTGTACTCGTCGTTTATGATATCAGAAGAAAACAGGACAACACCCAATATTGAACCCATTAATCCCCAAGCATAAGCTCGAGTTATAAACGTTTAATATTTTTTACGGTTGTGTCCAAATCGTATTACATTTATATAGGTATTTCTGTTTATATTCTTTTTCTTTTTTAATTTTTTAAATTTTATTTTTTCTGTTTCTTTTTCTTTTGTTTTGTGTTAAAAGAAAATTGAACCGCTATGAGCAAACATTGGAGACTAATATTTCGTTCTAGTATGTGATCAATTTATTTATAATACATAGTGCCCCAAAGATCAATCAAACGAAATATATTTTATTACGATTTTTTTTTCTTCAGATAAAGATTTTGGTTCTATATTAGAATAATATCTATAGTTAAGTTAAGCTATAAGTTTCTAATTCATTGTTTATTTATACATACCCCTGTAATATATCGTATGCCATATTTTATCGAAAAGTTTTCGAATTTGTAACTCACGACAGAAATTAACGGTTTATTGTTTCCTTCTTTTTATTTCTGTTTTTCTTTTCTCTTACGAAGAAAAGATACAAACTATAACTAGTTTTTTGGTTTTTGTTTTCTTTCCCAAACATATTCCTCGAATCTCACGTTATTGTGTAATTTACTTAGTATAACAAGCCTTTTTTCTCGAGAAAAATCGATCATAATCGTTACTGCCAATTGAAACTATGAGAGTAAACAAAATGAGCGAATATAAAATTCAAAGAAATTAATAATGATTGTATAATATGTGCGAAGTCGATAGAAAAGGAATTAAGAACTTTAAAAATCTTATCGATATAAATCGATTGAAAATTATTTATTATTTAATAATTTTTCTAAGGAAATATAAGGGTGTCGTTAGATGAATTTATTTCTTAGAATATTTCGATTTAAAATCTTACAAATTTTGTATCTGAGAGAATAAGAGAGAACTTATTATAAGAGAGAAAGAAAAAAAATAAGAGAGAGAGAGAGAGAGAGAGATCATAGATAAGAAATGGTTTGTAAATTTTACTGATGTATAGTTTTTTTTCAAATTCCCAAGTTGTGTGTTTTGTTAATACGTGTATATATAATATCATATAAAATTTTTTTTCTATATAAAAAATAATGTTTAAACATTCAAATTAACTTGTTCGACTCGAGAAACAAGAGAGCACATGTTCTCGATCCTATCATTAAATTCATGTAATAATATTTCGAGTAAGATCAAAATTAATTTTTGTTAAATTGAGTCTTCTATAGACATCTTGACCTGTATATTAAAATTATTTGCAAGAAAATAAAAATATATAAAAGAAAATAAAATAAATGGAAGTATATATAAAAGAGAAAGAAGACAAAATATATTCCAAACAAAAAATGGCTGCACAGATGAAGAATAAATCAATCATCGATAAATTGACAAATAAATGAATAAAAATCGTGTAAATATGTTTGTCGTTATATTTCCGAAACGAAGGAGAAAATAAAAAAGGAAAAATAATGCAAAAGACTGTGTCGTTTGAATAAATGTATCGTTTTTTCTTCCTACGAGGATGAGAGTTCAAAGTTTTTGTAATCCCCGACTTTCAGCATTACATTTATTGTTTTATTTATATATATAAACAAATATTTCGTCATTTCTTGCTAAAAAAGAAAATGTAATATTTCGGCGATTGTAGAATTACTGTGTTTAAAATCGCATTTCTTTGGAATAAAAGAATAAGAAATGATAAGAAAATGATAAAACGACACTTGAAAATATGAATATTAAAAAATTAATCGACGAAGAATATCATGACAAAACATAAATGGCTCACTTGATATCTAATCGTAAATGTTAAAAGTCGCAATCGAAATGAACATGTGAAAAAATAGTAAAAATATCTTTTTTTTTATTCTTCTTTATTTTTTCATTTATTTTTATCGTTCATTTCTGTCCTTGACTAGATGTAATGTTTCATATCTTGAAAGTAAATAATTATTTTTTTAAAAAAATGTGAAAATGAATTAGAAATAGACAAAAATATATATTTTCTTCTTATAGCGGAGCTAATTTTTAACAAAATATATTTTATACAAGATAATTGTGTATTGGTTATATGCATAAATACATCCAAACACATACGTACACGTGCACATAATCACGCACAGCAATATATATATAAGTAGTTAAAAAAATGTTTGAAGTCGTTAAAAATATAAAAAAAATTCAATATTATCTCACTTTATTTCTAAAAGTAATAAATATGCTGAAATGTCTTGAACTTCAAAATAAAACAAAACATTTATTTTTTGTTTAAATAAAAGTGAATTTAAAAAAAAAACAATTATTTCTATATTAGACTAAAAACTTTTTAACTTCCGCACGTAGTTAACTTTGTTTATGCCTAATAGAAAAATAATTTGACTTTGATAATTTGGAAAGAAAAAATATTCCAAATAATTTGAATGACACATAAAATATTAAAATCCCATAAAAGAATAATTTTATTATGAATGATTAAAAATGTATTATTTCTATATAAGTTTTTAATGACAAAAGAAAAATAAATATTTTACAAATAATTCCAAAGTAGAGATTTAAAAAGGAGACAAAATAATTCCAATGATTTGTTAGGCCACTTTCATAATCCCTGGTTCATATACATGTATACATGCATACATACACACAGATTCAAGCTCACTTGATACTAGTCATTTATTCGATTAGCCCATGAACGGAGTCTACTAACTGAGTGCAGTGAAACGTTTTCGTCGACTAATCGACTAATAGAGTGACATGGTGTTAGTTGAATAAGATTTTTTGTCATTTAATCAAATCGACCGTGTAAACGGTTAATAATCGGTCAACTACATTACTACGGCACGATAATCTCTATATGACGATAAGAGATTGATGCCTCACGCGCGTTAAACGTTTAATCAGAACTTTTATCCCCGCGTAAATTCATTTCTCTCATCGTCATTTAATTGCTCTCAATAACGTTGACGATTAAATCCTATTATCAAATGTTTCTCATTATTTTTCTATTTAAATCAAAACAGTAAATATATAAGCCAAGGAAAAAAATTAAAAAAATGTCATATCAATATTTTTCCGAACTATTTGTTAAAGTCCAATCGATAGGTCGAGCAATAATCAACCTAATCGTACGATCAATCAGCCAAGAATTATTATAGATATTTTTATGTGTGTACAAAATTTTTACAAGTAAAATATTTATATTCTTTTAATCGAGACAAAGTGTATAATAAAAAGAAACATGAATAATATGAAAAATAAAATTAAAACAACGATAGAGTAATGTAATAAATTTTTAAAAATTAATTTCCTAAGTATATATTACAATTTTCAAATAACAAATATCTCACACACACAATCAGAAGTTTAATGATTGTTTTTTTTTTTAAAATATCGCTACCACAAGTCAGAAATATGCAACAACTAGGTTTGTTTAATAAATCCAATAGATCAATCATTTGAATTCAACCTATCGCACACATATGTGATTTATAATTCATAAAACGTAACATTTCATTTATAAACCAACGTCACGTACATTTAACGATTAAAACAAAAAATTCCATCGTTTCATTTAATTAATATACTTTACGTATACATAAACGATTGGGTTCTACTTATTACGTAATAGATGTAAAAAAAGATATTATTGTAATTTTTTTATTGTTGATGATTGTGATTACGATTTAATCAGACATTTACGTTATCCAATTAGGCGCTGCGGTAACGGGATGGCGCTAGTGTCGCGTAAAGAAAACTGCAATAGATTATTAGCGCTCATATCTTGCGGATCTTTGGAATATAACTCGGACAACTCAGTAGTAGTCGTTGTCATCATCATCCTCGTTGTCGTCATTGTCAGCCGCCGTTATTATCGGTGTTAGTGTTCTGTACTCCTTTAATAATCGACAGTCGTTCACACGCGACGAACCTCGCTAGTTTAATTCAACGAACGATGGTGGTTCTCGATCTTTTCGAAAATATATCATCGGTTCCGAAGCTTTATTATGGAGCTTTATTCGGAATTGGTTTCAGCTTTTATTACCTTTTCGAAGTTGTTAAAGTAAGTATACATTGTGTTCTATATAAATGCTTCTTTTTTTCTTTTACGTAACATCACGTATATATATATATATATACATACGTAGGATACATAATATATATTCTTACTGTCAATTTGTGAAATAATTGATATTTGCTTGTAGTGCATAATTTAAAAATTTTGTTACACACAAAATTTATTTTAGGATTATTACATTTTGTTATTGATATTTTAGTTTATTGTATATGAACATTTTATTATTGGAGATATATATAATTTTACTTAAATGATCCAAAATTTGTCTCGCGAGAATATTTTTGTCCTATATACAAGATGTAATAAAAATACGATTACTTTTGTAAGTAATACTTGGTTGGACCCTTCTTTGCATCTTATACGATTAATCTGTTATGAGATCAATTTTTTTGTCAGTTATGTCAAATTTTGCTTCTATTATAATTAAATGCTCTTTTGCGATCAAATTTATATCAATTTCAAAATTTATTGATCCTAAAATACGTTTCTGTTTATAAGAATTTTAATATATTGTATTATAAGAAAATATTGTGTGTGTGTAACTGTTTCAAATTGACAATGTGGATACGAAAACTCCCGGGACTCGCTGTATATGCACGTTTATACTTAAATATATTCATATGTGAAATAGTTTAAGATATTCGTGTTTATTTAACTTTTTCTTCTTTAATTCTAATGACTCGTTACGATATTAATACATTTAAAATTTTATAGTAGTTGCAGCGCGTCAATCGCAGATTTGAAAATTTTCTGAACGTGGGAATTTTGAATTTGAGAAACAAATTTCTTATATATTCTTTCATATTTCAACCTTAAAAAAAAATGAATCACATTGATGACAAATAATCATAATTTGAAAAAAAAAATATTTTCAAATTATTTTGAAATTCGATCCGTATATCGTAGTAATGTATACAATGTTAATAAGAAGAAAATAAATAAATATATATATAATTACGCAATATTCTAATTTTGCAACGCAATTTATTGCATATTAACGCAATGTTCTAATTTTCATTCACACACGCACACATTCATAAATATTTTTTCCAATCATTTGTTTCTGACCAAATGAGTGATATTAACATTTAAATGTAAACTTTTTAAAGACTCCATTATTGGTATGTGCAAAAGGACCTTTCCGTTCATTCCTAGAAGATCACGTACCATTGGTGAAAAACAAATTTTGGCCAACCCTATGGTGTTTCGAATCACGAGCACAAACTGTACTTGCAAGTATAGTTAGGTCACGTGTATTACCAGCGATACAGTACCGCAGGTTGGTAGGTAGATAGATAAATAGATAGATAGATAGATGAATAGATAGATAGATAGATAGATAGATAAATCATTGAAAGATATAACGAACCTCGATTGATCCGGTTACTTTATATAGATATATGTATCAACGTTTTATTCTGCAGAGAGATATACACATTGTCCGATGGTGGCGAAGTAGCTTTAGATTGGGCCGAGGAGAACTGTCCAACTACGTCACCGATAGTTATCATTTTACCGGGTTTAACCGGTGCAAGTAACACAGAATATATCAAATGTCTAGTATCAGCTGCTAAAAAATCTCGTATTAGATGCGTTATATTCAATAACAGAGGATTGGGTGGTGTTAAATTAAAGGTAAAGAACAAAATATTATAAATGAACAATTAACAATAATGTTCGTAATTAAGCTTGCATCAGATGCATAATATTTAATAACAGAGGATTGGATCGTTTTTAAATTCAAAGCAAAGAAAAAAATATTTAAAAAATTAAGAAGACATCTCTTCGCATTTTATCGAACGAACTTCGATCTTTTATTTTTTTTTTATGATTTATTATGATTACAAGAAATTTATCGGTAAGGAGAATCCATGATATTCATTTATCGAGAAAGCTTTCAAACCAATACTAAAATAAGAATAACATATTTCCCGGCAGTTCCCTATTTAATACAATTTCATTAAACGTTAACTGACAGTGTTACGAAATTGTTCTCTATTGAGTAGTTACATCGCGTGACACTATCTTGTAATTTGCTGTCGACCCGTTATTCTAGTAGTATCGAGTTGAGTTACTAACTTTCAAAGTGACTCATATATCATTTGAGAGTGAATGATTAGGTGACAATGTTCATTTACGTATATGCGTAATCCTACTTAAGTACTTTAAAATTATTACAATATTATTTTGATTTATTTTTGAATTACTACCAACATATATGTAAAACTTGTTAGAAATCACACATTGATTTATGTATTTTTTTTTTTTTTTCTTTCTTTTTTCTTTGCTATTAATAACAGACACCACGTACATATTGCGCCGCTAATTGCGACGATCTGGCAGAGATAATCGAGCATTTAAAAAAATTACATCCTAATGTTCCTCTCGGTGCAACTGGTATTTCGATGGGAGGGTAAGGATAATTCCAATTTTTTTTTTAATTATTATTATTATTATTATTATTATTATTATTATTATTGTACCGATAAATAAGTGATCTCATTAGATTTATCCTATCTCTCTTTTTTAAACGGCGTAAAATATTATCAATTATTATAATCATTTTAGTGTATATATATATATATATATGTATTACACTATATTTCAGATTGATATTAGGTAATTATCTAGCACAAAATGGCGAAGCTGCGAAAAATAAATTGAAGGGATGCTTTATCATCTCAGTGCCTTGGAATGTATTCGCCGCGACGAAAAATATCGAAGATAATTATATTAATTTAATGCTAAACAAACATTTAGCTAGCAATCTTTGTCGCACGGTTAAAAAATATTATTCCTCATTGGAAACTGGTTTAGAAAATATTGATATGAACGACGTTTTACGCGTAAGTAAATATCTATTATATATATATATATATATAGTAAGCGTGTTTTATGCAAGAGGCAAAAAATATTTGTAAATTAACGACACAAGAAATATTTCTCTTTCGCGTTTCCGTGTTTAAATAATAATGATAATAATAATAATAATAATAATAATAATATATTCAATTTTTGCAGAGTCAAACCGTGCGAGAATTTGACTCGAACTTTACGGCCAAGCAATTTGGTTTTAAAGATGTCGAAGAGTATTATCAGAAAGCAACATTGCATGACAAATTGCATTTAATAGAGGTACCTGTATTGTGCCTTAATGCGGCAGATGATCCATTTCAACCATTAGAAGGTAAAATATTTGAAATCATTTTGTATAAATATAAAAGTGAAGAAAAAACAATGTTAATATTTTTTATCTAAAATAATTAACAAAATTCTTTAACAGGTAATAATAATATATTAATTCGTCTAATTTCTAGCCATTCCATTAAATGAATTTACTAAAACTGAAAACGTCGCCATTGTGGTAACCTCGCGTGGTGGCCATATTGGGTTCCTCGAAGGTTTTTGGCCGGTAAAAGAGGAACAATATATAAGCAAATTATTTTGCCAATATTACACTGCATTATTTACCGTTGGTATGGAATTAATTTCTCATTGAAATATTTGAGAATCATTGTTTTTTCATTTTTTATTATTTAAAAACAATCGAAGAGAGAATTGCCGATTTTAACGACTATTATTCGGAGGTGATCAATCAAGGTGCCATTGTAAGTTATTGCATTTGTTCTTTTCTAATCCGAGATGCGAAAATAATTCTGTGCACCTTGAATATCTCTGTTATAAAACTTGCATAAAATAGGGGGTGCATATTGCGATACCTATTTCTCAATCGAATGACTTACTTTTTTTTACCGTTTTACGATAACCGGCGTTAAAACGATTTCAGCGAAATATTAGTGAGTCATTCAAGATCAAATATAATAGTAAAATAAACTTCTTTACATTTTTTACGTAAAATGTTACAAATTGTGATTTATTGCGTTATTATTAAGATAAGACATATCAATGTACAACGAAACGTTAACGTCTTTCAGCGATACGAAAATGACGGATTTGCTTAAAGTGATATAAAATTTAAAAAAATAAAAATAGAAGAAAAGAAATAGGAATCGCAATATACTATCCTCCATGCCATGCAAGTTCTGTGCTAAACATTTGTTTTCATATTATTACAAATAACAAAGATATTCAAGGTAGACAGAAATATTTTGAGAATAAATGATCAGAATGCAGATCATTTTTATTCATTTTTTCGTGCTCTATAAGAATATAAAAAAAATATATAATTTCATTTAAAAAAAATCGATATAGAAATATCAATAATAAACAGATAGACTTTTATTATCATTGATCATTCATAAATTGCATTTTATATACGTTAAATACGATTTAGCTGTACCAAGAAAACCGACTTTTTACATGCAATTATTTTTCTTTGAGTTTTTAATTGGACTAAGTTACGCAGATGTTTATCAAACCGCAAATGATAAAAAAAATTAATTAAACGTGATACAAAGATTTTATTTTTTGTGATTCTTATTTAGCAAAAAATTACTAAGTCTAAGTAACTAATAATTATTAAATAAGAAATTTAAAAAATTGTAAAATAAAAAATAGAATATACTCAATAGAATTCTTTATTTTTTAAATGAATATTTTCAGAAAAACTAGATTTACTCAAATTTCAGATTGTGGGTTGGCAACTTGTTGCATAACTTGACCCAATTATAATTTTGTATACGATAAAATATTCCACACGTGAGATAGTGAACGCGTAGTGTGTTTTGTATGCGTGTGCGTGAAATAATTTTTTCATAATAATTTATTAATAATAAATAGGAAAAAATAGAAAAAAAAAAAACAATAAAATAAACAAAAACGAAATAGTATGTAAAAAAAACACAAGTATGCATTTATATTTCAGAAACATTTATGCCAATAAAATGATAATTCATTTTTATTTTTTATTTTCTTCTTTTTTCGACGACAGGGACAAATATATTATATCACAAATAATAAAAATAATAATAATAATTATAATAATAATACCTGAACCATCCCGTCATAATAATTTTAGAAGATGTACAAACAGTTAATATATAAACATTTACATACGTTATAGTTTGAATTTTAAATTCAAAGCTTGGACGATGAACGATAAAATGTCTGTGTTTTCTTCAATCTAAAACAGAACAAAGGAAAAATATAAAATTGAATGTTTATACGATTGTTAATTAACAATTAATTGCCTCGTATTAAGAATTGAATTAATAAATATTACTAACAACTTTAGTGGTTGGTTTACCACCACCGTGACCAGCCTTCGTCTCTATTCTTGCGAGTAATGGATTTGTTTGGTTCGGTAGATTTCCAAGTACATATTGCAAAGTTGCTATGAGCTTAAGACTATGCAATGGTACAACACGATCATCGTGATCGGCTGTTAAAAGCAACGTTGCCGGATATTGAGAACCGTCCTCTGGTATTTTAACATTATGTAATGGTGAATATTTAATTAGATTCTCAAAATGCTTCGGATCTTCTGAACTTCCATAATCGGAAACCCAAGCGGAACCAATTGTAAACTTATGAAAACGTAACATATCCATCACACTGAAAGAATTTATAAAAGACATATTATTATTTAAATATAACAAACTTACTTTTATCACGTTAATTGCCATGACAGAGCATTTCGTAAACGTTTATATACAATATATGCAAAAGTAACGATATAAGAGTAAAACGTAATATATAATTGTTTTGTATCTTTTATCTACAAAAAGTTATAAAACAGGTACCTAACTAATATATTGATTATAAGATTGATACGGCAGTCAACGTGTTAATAATATTATCTTTTTAATAAGAATAATAATCTAACTAACCCGACTTGTGCGATAGCAGCACCAAATAAACTTGGTCGCTGATTTATACAAGCAGCTACCAATAATCCACCATTACTTCCACCTTGGATAGTTAATTTGCTAGGTGTAGTATACCCATTGTCTATAAGATATTCAGCTGCACATTGAAAGTCATCAAATACATTTTGCTTATTAAATAGTCGACCACCATTGTGCCATTTTTCTCCGTACTCTCTAAACCAAGACAATGATGTATGTATATAATATAAGTATACGATAATATATTTAACTCCATTGTTAATTATGTATTCTTCTTACCCTCCACCTCGGATATTTGGAATAGCAAGCACACCATTTAAATGTTGCACGAAGACAAGTCTTGTTACGCTAAATACAGGTTGAATACTAACATTGAAACCGCCATATCCATTCAATAAAGCTGGCATAGAATTATCCAATACAGCATCCTAAATTGCAATATATTTTTTCTCGTATATTTATAATTAATCCGTGGAAAATCACATGTTATTAAAAATACTTACGCTTTTCATAACGATGAACATAGGAATTTGCGTACCATCTTTACTGGTATAAAACACTTGCAACGTTTTATACAAACTTGAATCAAAATCCTTAACTTTGATCTCGCGAAATATCTAGAAAAAAAAGATATTGATATTTATTTTATAAAATAATGTTTATTTATTTACTTTCTTATATATTTATCGTGAATATACTAACTTTTGGTTCGTCATCGTTTTTGAGATCAGCCGTGTATATGATTCCAGGCGTTAAAAAAGATGTGAACTGATAAAATATTTCAGAATATTTTTTGTCACCAGAGAAACCAATAATCGTACCAACGTCAAGTGGGAACGTTCTTAGAAGTTTACCGGTTGTTAAACTATGCAATTGCAAAATATTCTGAAAATGCATATAAATTAATTGTTATATAAGTATACATCAAAAAATTCAATAATCTAAAGTATCAATATACTAACTTTAACATCTTGTATGTAACAGGCAACAAACTTATCCCCGTCTACTGCGCTCGCCCAATCCAAAACGTTATCAGGATGTTCAGGTAACAGGTCAGTCCATTTATCTTCTTTGTAATCCAACAAATCTATTGCTATTAACTTGAAGTTTGATGCATTCTTGTTTGTACGAAATATAGCTTTGGTACCAACATTCGTCATGTACTAATAATAAAATAATTAATATATAATATTATATTTTTTTATGCATAAAAAATAATCATAATGTTTAAATTATTATACTAAAAATCTATTTTACTAACTTCATAATCAGCTTCAAGTTTGTCAACGACTTGCGTTAAAGGTAATAAACCATCTATTTTTGAATCAGCTTTTAGTTCAGTGAAGTACACTAGATTATCACGACAATCTTTTACAGGTGTAACAATTAACCACTTTCCACAATCAGAAACTTGTGCGCCTCTAAAGAAATAGACAAATAAATATTAACATTTTGTTTATAGTATTAATTTATTACGTGTTAAAGATTTTCTATGTTACTTACATCCTCCACAACGGTTCCTCAGGGAATTCTACTACAATCACATCTTCTGATTGTGGTGTCCCTACACGATGATAGCACAATTTCTGATTCTGATCGTCTTGAGTTTCTAGACCGTCAACTTTTCCTTTTTGATCGCGATAATGTCCATAAAAGACGCCAACGTTATCGTGAGTCCAAGTCAATGGAGAAAATTTTACTCTTTCCAATACCTCAGGATATTTCTCACCTAAATAATAAATATACTAATTAATAATAAAATAATCTAATAAATAACATTTGAGAGCATACCTCAGCATTAAACTTATATTCATCATACCAGTATTCGCATTGATAAAATGTATCGTGTTCCAATCTGAGCCACTACTGGACAATCCGTATGCAAAAATACTACCATCTTCGCTAAATCTGCTAAATGATATTGCAACAGTGCCATCCTCAGAAAGAGTATTTGGATCAAGGAATACTCGAGGCTCGCTATCCAAAGTATCTTGCACATATAATACACTAAAATCAAAATCAATTGTTGAATTAAAAACGAAGAATACACACATGAATATAAATAAAATTATTTTTAATATATAACCTCTGATTTTGCAAGCCAGTGTTCTTGTAAAAATAATATCTATTTCCATGTTTGGCAGGACACATGTATTTAGGAAAATCCCATAATTGTTTAAGTCTATCATGAATATCCTGACGTGATTTGCAAGAAGCTAAATATGGTTTGGTTAACGCATTTTGAGCATCAATAAATAACTTTGTTTCTTCTGAGTTCGGATCCTCCAACCATCTGTATGGATCAGTTATCTGTCCGGACAATTTCATTCATTATATTATACAGAATACTTTGTGTTTAAATATATTACAAAAAATGCATACTCATATAAAAAATAGTTAACTAAATGTGTATAAATATTGCATAATTATACGAATAGTACAAAATATTCTACCAATTATATTTGGTAATTCTTTTTTGTTCACCCATTATCAATCAATAAAAATTCATAAATTTTAATTTATTTCAAAAAGAAGTCAAATTATTCAGGAAAATTAATAATGTGTGAATAATTGATTAAAAATCATTCTTAGATAAAAAAAAAAGCCTACTAGAAAATAACAAAAATTGTTCAAATAAATTTTAGATAATAGTGCAAAGCATCGGCCAATCAGTCATAGTTTACAGGAAAGAAGTTGACTTGACATAACCTAGAAACAAATCTTAAAGAATATAGTACATGAACTAACCTCAATACCGTGATAGTTTTCAACAACAGTTTCGTCGCGTCGGGTCACGGGATACTCCAATTTGGACATTGTTGTAGTTTTAAGCTTATTCCTTGATCCTCGATTATAAGAAGCCTAATTAATAATTGCGGAGAAAGAAGTTCGTTTTACGATATTAAGAGAATAATGTGAGCAAGAAGAAGATATCCGACAAATACAAAGAGAAAGAAGAGATGTAAAAGAAAGGGAGAAAGAGAGAGAGAGAGAGAGAAATAAAGATAGTGTGAGATAGAGAGAGAGAGAGGAAAAGAGATAAAGATAAAGATAATTACACAGCATGTTTAAATTTCATTTAATCTCTTTTAATATTCTTACTTGTGGAATCTTCGAAAACGATGAAATGCGAAATTGACGTAAGTGAGTAGAATTTAGCGTCTTTTTGACAAGCTTTTTGTCAATGCCTACGGCGCACCTAAAAAGTTGCCTCTGAAATGAATTTACCACTAAGAAGAATGATACACCAACACCAGCCATTACGCACGTTTTTCTACCGACTGAACATTATCTCTCTCATTTATTTTTTAATTAATATAATCCATTTATATTTTTTACTTTTGCTTTTTCATTATTCAATTTCACATTTTTTTATAATTTATATTTATTTGTAAATCGATTTGTTTTTTATTTTTTTTTTTCTTTTTAATAATGGAAATTATTTCGATCGGTAAAAACGATCATACCCTAAAATGGTTGTAGATGTTATCAAAATATTTTGTTTGACTGGTAACTCTACGAAAGGTATCATTTTATGACAGGTTGATTCATTTTAGAAATTACGATATGTGGTTGAATATTCGAATATTTTTTAAACTACGTATTGATGCGAAAAATTAAAATTAATATCACAAAATGAATTTATCTGATACCGACAAACAAAATAATACCTTGTGATTCTTATAATAGTAACAATGTATATATATTAATTTGCATGTGTATATATATATATATATATATTTATCATATATTTATTCGCATACATTATAGAATGTGTAAAATTAACAAAGATATTCTACAAATTTTTCGTTCAGCCGATAACAAGTAATGCATCGTTTTATGATTCAACGTTGCAAATACAATAAGGTCAAATGTTCGAGTAAATATGAAATTAATTATTTTCAAACTATATATTAAAACGAAAAAAGCCATTTATTTTTTCATATATGATAACATTAAAATGATCGACTTGGCCTACGATGAAAATATTATGAACAAAAAAAGATATCGTTTATCAAATTTGCAAATATTAGATAAGATATGATTGCAATTGGGAGAATGGAAGACATTTCGAAAAACTCGTTTTAAAATAATTCATAAATTTCACACACATTAGGGTAAATAAATGATAATTATTTTATATTTATATTATAAATATAAAATTTGTATAAATAAGTGATAAATGAAAATTATAGAAGAATATATTATATTATATATATATTATTATTATATGTAATTAATATATTATTTATATATATAATATAATATATACATACATGCACTCATGCGCATGCGTATACACATACAAATGCGTACATAAATTGAAAAATAGTATTACAAATTGGTAGAGTCCAAGGGGAGTCTAGAATAAGTATAAAAGATATACAATGTACGTTTTTATCCAGTGACCTTAATTGCCCCCTCTTAATACCATATGATAATAATTGACACGTGAATATGAGTTTTTACGAGATGACAGCCAGCCAATAGAAGCTATCGGCACAGCGTCAACGTTATATCTCAGATGGCCATTAACCCCTACAACGAAACTATACATTTAATTTTTTTTTTAACAAATTCGTCCGATAATACTCTTACTAACGCTACATTTTCATGGCTTAAGACAAACAATGTTGCTATTTGCAATTATTTTGTAGTATTTCAAGTAGATTTTGAGACAAGGTCGGTAAAGAAAATTCGACTATTATCGATGTTTAGTCTCTTGTCAATCATTAAACTCGTTAATTAACAAACAAATATATACATGTATTTACAAATTACGCATGCATATTCTATGTAATTACGTAACGTCTATCATGTTTATATAATAACGAATATTCCTAAAAATATCTGTATTATTCACATAGTTCATATTTGGAAAATTATGCATATTTGGATACAAAGTCGAGTCGTAAACTTGTTAATTATCGCTTTATTTATTATAAAATCTGCAAAGCAAAAATAAATATGAATATCGTTAAAAACATAATTAATATTCGTAGAGTACACGCGTGTTGTATAATCATATAATAAGCCTATGATCATTAAATTACGATAAAGTTATCGATAACATACGTCGAACTTACGTCAAAAGATAGAAAAAAAAAAACGATGAGTGACAGCTTAGAAACGAACGAGAAAACGAACAATATTTGATTCTTATGCAAAATATATTTGGAAAATAATTATTTTTAGTTACTTGAGACGATGGTTTCTTGTCTTTTTTTTTTTCACTTACTATCATCATTTTTAACAAACGAAGCACTTCTCGTTGTTATAAAAATATGCAAATATTGATGTGACAAAAAATTAATTAATTGATATAAATTTGTTAATTTTGTATTTACATATATTACACTTACATATTTAAATAATTTTTGTATTAAAATATTTACATATTTTTTTTTAAATAATAATAATACTAATGTATATATAGGATGAGGCATTTAATACAGATCACCTGAATAATCCGATTGCTATTGGTGACAGGAAAAAAAATGTGTCAAAGAAAACTCAATTGATTTTTAGCATAGCACAATCTCGTGTTATGTATAATTAACGTATTGATTATGTTATACACGTTACGTTTTCAATTATTTTGTAATATATAACAAATACATATGCATGTATAACGTTAATAAATTTATGTAGATTTGAGTTTAAAAATGTCACGATCTTACTCTTTCAATTTTATACAAAAAGATAGGATATTTAAATATAAATTTCTCTATAATACATACAAATATATTATTAGAAAATAGTACAATGCATGATCTTCGATATCTCAAAACTCGAATCTGGAACATGCTTTTTTCTCTTTCCCGTTTTTCTTTTTTCTATTTATATGATAATTATTGAAAAAATTTGCCGTTGTTTCGCGTAAAAATAAAATTGTTTACATGTATATATGTGAGCGATCGTCTCATTTTCGATAAGATTATAAATATTTTATATATTTAATATTTAAACAGCATACATATTTACGAGGATGATAAAGATGAACTTTTCAAAGTTCGTTCTAACTTCGATCGATTTCGACACGACGTTTGATTCAAAGACGTATTTATTTTTAATATATTTGTAAAAACATTAAACACATACACACAAAATATATACAAATGTAAAATTTGTATGTGTATATATATATATAAAAATAATTATATAAATATATAATTGAAATATAATAATATTAAGCCGAGTAATTCTAATTAACAAGTTTATGATATGTTTTTGTACCGAAATACGCAGATATTTCGAGATAACATGAACACATTACGTAAAGAAAAATCAATTTATTTACGAATATTCATTATTATATATGTATGGAAATTTTAAGTAGATTTTTTCATGTTTGTTCGTGTATTATCGTTTAGAAAATTATCTTTCTCTTTTAGAACCCCGTGTTTTTCAATTTGGTCATAGAAAAATGTCGAATAATGTATTATCATAATTACGCCACTTATAGCCTATTTTTAAAACGACTATTTAACGAAGTATTTTCTCTTAGTCTTTTTTAATTTTATTTTAATATTAATAATTTTGTTGTTTTATTCTAGAAGAAACATAAAGAAAGACAGCGATTAAAATGATCAGCCATTTCTATTTCGTAAGTAATACAATAATATATTCTTTTCATAAAATAATTATTAAATTTTCCATTATATCGATTTAATGAAAAGAAGGAAAAAAAAATGATAAAAGTAATCTCAGCAGTTGAGCTCACGTGATCATAAAAGATCACTTTGTGATTATAGAAATTTCCAAATTTCGATCTATAAGCGTTAATTTCTTAGTCTTATCGTCTATTATGTGCTCATATTTGAAATATTTTTAATTAATAACTACAACCCTGAACGCGTGAATAGTTGATTGGCGGGAAATATTTAGGTGGGGTTGAAAAGAAACGAAAAAATAGCATCGAGTCGATATAATCATGCGTAGGGGTCAGCTGTACTTTGTGCCTCGAACTCAGATAACCCTCTCTGCGTGTGTTAAAAGACCCGTTTCCTTTCTCCTTTCCTCCCTTACACTTTGCCATCGTCATGTAGGGTATGCGCGCAATATAATGTTAAAAGTCGAACGATCGACTATTATTCGTCGGGAAATTTGCAAGCGCATCGATTCGAACTTCTTCCTTTCTTTAAATTTACTTTAAACTAATCTACGACTAACTTACTTTCCATATACACACGTATATACTTTCTATCTTTGTGACGTGACTATAATCGTTTAGTCTCTTTCTTTCTTTATTTATTTTATTTTTTTTTTTTTATTAAAGTCAAGTGACAACAAATTTAAAGCTTAGACGTGAAACCGTGTGCAACTGTGTTCAAATTTTTTTTCTTTTTCGGACCTATTGAAATTTAATTCTTTCAAACTGTCAGCACACGGAGGAATGCAAAAGGATTGTCGAGATTGTTTGGGTATCCGGTACCGCATCAACAGCCTGGATCAAACGTGGAAGTGGTTACACCAGACCATTGCTCTTCACGACTACCTAATCTCCATCACGGCGAGCCAATCCGACGTTACATTGAGACATACAACTCATTAAAGTAAAAGAGAGAGAGAAAAAAGAGAAAATTGTTACTTTATTTAAAAAAATAAAAATCAATACATCTTTCAAGGCTGTTGTCTAATCTCTAAACAAGAATTTCGAGGTAGTATAATATTAAAAGAAGAAAAAGAAGCCTTGACGTTCGTGTTTAGTCTAATTATAAGACTGATAATCGTCGGATCAACTCATCGTAACGGAGAAAATAAAAATAAAAAACTAAAGAAAAGAAGAAGAAAAAAATTGAGTAACCATTAATAGTGTTCTGTCTTACCGACGTAACAGAGAGAAACAGAAATAAGAAAATTTGAGTTACCGACACTTACCGATCGTCAACAACGATACGTAACTATCACGTTACTCTGTCGATAAATTGAAAAATCAAGTCACGTGGACACAGAAGAGAGAAAGTGAGATAAAATGTCTTTGATTAACAAGTGTGGTAGAATAATCGTCGGCAGAGGTGTTCTCTGTTCTCGTTGGAATACTTTCGAACGAACGAAATTGCAAGTAAAATGGGTCTCGTCGAGTTTCAATGTGAAACAAGGGCAGAACGGTTCCAATAACGATTCTATCAGGAAGTCAGTATTCATATCCCAATCCACTGATGTGTTCACCAATCTGGCATTAGAAGATTGGCTGTATCGTAATTTCGACCTCACGAATCATCATATATTGCTATTGTGGCGTAACGATCCATGCGTGGTAATCGGCCGCCATCAAAATCCTTGGCTCGAGTGTGATACTCGTACCACGGAGAAGCATAATATAGCATTGGTACGTCGTAATAGCGGTGGTGGTACTGTTTATCACGACAATGGCAATCTCAATCTTTCCTTTTTCACGCCGAAACAAAGATATAATAGGAGATATAATTTGGATATTATCACGAGAGCATTATATCGAGAGTGGGGATTGAAAGCTGTTGTTAACGAACGGGAGGATATTGTCGTCGAGGGACGATATAAAGTATCCTTTGATGTAATGTATTTCTCATAATATTTCAAATTCCCGCGTATTTTAACATAGACGTTTGAAAATTGCATTCTTTTGTGACGTCATTATACCTGTACATTCTATATGTATTTACATTTTTGTATTGTATTGTTTTAAAATATGAGAATTAGTTTTTTCCCTTTTTATTTTTTGAGGTACTTGTTTTTAATGTTTGTATTATTCTTTATTAAGTAATAATATTATACAGGGTATTGTTATAGTCAAATAAATGGCAGCTATTTTAAAACGTCTTCAAAGAAATCGAAAGGTTATTCTTTATTATTTTGTATGAAGCCTTGACTGTATTATAACTCAGGTATCTGGTACAGCAGCCAAAATAGGACGACCTAATGCTTACCACCATTGTACGCTTTTAGTAGCTGCTAATAAAACTTTGTTGAGTATGAGTCTTCAGAAGAAAGAGGTAAACAAATGTTTCAACCATATTTCATTTTTTTCTTATATGTATATTTTCTTTTATACATATTTAAAAAAGAAAGAAATTATTAAAATGTTTGATCATAATTTTACAGACTGGAATTAAAACAAATGCTACACCGTCTACGCGTTCGTCAATAAAAAATCTAACGGAAGTTAATTCCGAGGTTCAAATAGACAAGCTCATAAATGCCGTAGGCTGGGAATATTTACGTACAAAGCCGCTTGTCCTCGAAGATGGCGGCTATGACCATATACAAGAACAAAAAGGTTTTCAAATGATCAATCCCTCCGAGGATTGGTTCCCAGGTAACTAGATTTCTCTTTTAACTTATTCAAGGCCTCTGCTACATTGTGCGCGTATATTTATTTTAAATCCCATAAAAAGTTATTTCTTTTAGCAAAATCCTAACAAAGCAACACATATATAACTTTAAATAAATGTTCTATCCATAAGAAAAATCTCTTTTGTCAAAAGATAAAAATAACATTTTATTTACTTTATCGCGAACGTAAATAAAATTTAAAAAAATGAACAATTTTATTGTCATCAGTTAAATTTTAAATTCGGCCTTGAAGAAGTCAATCAATAAAATTTCATTGTAATGGAACAATATTTTAATATAATAAATTATTATTCTAGGTATAGATAAATTGAGGGAACAATTCTGTTCGTGGGAATGGACATATGGAAGAACTCCAGATTTCTCAGTAACGAAAACTTTCGATGTACCGGCACCAAATGGAAATATTTATCGGCTCGATTTGACTTTAGAAATACAAAAAGGTATAGTCGAGGAAATAAGAATGAGTTTACCGGCAAATTTGGCATCGTCCGATTTTAATCAAAACACTAATGTCCTAACCAATCTTCGTGGTATGAAATACGATAGCGACGTTATGGACAACATAATTGCATTGATCAGCTGCAAGAATTTCGCTGAGAGTATGTCTCAGAATACAAAGAAGACTAATATGGTGGCGACGCAATGATCGATCGTTATTCCTTCGGACGATCCAAAGAAGCAGCATACTCGATAAGATAGAATGAAGGGCAAATGAAGAAATCAATTATCGAATAGAGATAACATCACGTTTTTTCAATGATATTACATTTTATCAATGACATCACATTTTATCAAAGATTTTCCCATCATTCTTGTATTTTAATATTATATTTTGATTTTAATTTTATATTCTACGCTATTTTTTTCTTTAGTTTTTTCTTCCTCTTTAGTGTATATATATTTCTTCTTTTTAAAATATTATAAAACTGATATCGTGTGTGTATATAAATATATTTAATCGTTTTTATATTAGATATATATGTACAAGGTGAGCCATTTAAATTGATACATCTAATTATCTTCATATTTATAATTTTATGAAACAAATCTTCAAAGTTATTTTTTAAAGGGATTTCATGACAATTACCACTTTTTTAAAAGGAATATTTTTTAATGAACTCTTTATATAAAAAAAAAAAAATAAATATTAAACCATGCATGTTAAAAAATTATTATTTCAGAAATATGTGCTACTTTAAATAGAGTAAGTTTATCTTTAAAACTTTTTCCATAGAACCATAAATAATGAAGAAATTTAAATGGTCTGATTTAAATACATTTCCCTATATATATATATATTGTTATATCATAATACATATTTTAAAGATAAAATATTAAATAAATAATTCTTACAAACATCCTAATTTATAACGAACTATAACCTTAGGATTAGATTTTAATACTTTTAATCATGTCGAATGTTATCTCTCTAATATGTGTAATTTTTACTTCGTTTTTTATCAAATTTTAACAACTCGTACTATTATAATTTTTATCTAAGGTATGCACAAAATAGAAAAAAAAAATGTTTTAGTTTATAAAACATACGTGGATGAATTGATAAATTTTGAACCTAACATAGAAAGAAGTTTTTCCCGATGAATTTTTATTTAAAACTAATATGTCATTTGTCGGGACTCAAAACTTTTCAATCTGCCCGTGTAATATACTGCGATGATGAAAGCACGATAAATCGATTTATTAATTGACATGAATATTATTATACGATGGTGCGTAATATAGAGAAGTCCCATTTTTTCTAACGTTACTTTGATCACGTACCGTATCCGGTAGTATTGTTATTTAAATTGGAGTTGCGGCTCTATAAAGTCCCGGTCGTAACATAACTTCACGATACGGTGGCGGAGGAGTACCTGGACAGGATATTGTTTGACTTGAATTGAGCGTAGGCCCTGTTGTTGCTACGTGCCATTGATTACGAAGTAGAGAAACTCTTTGAGGATCGTCGTACGTCGTATGAGCATGATAATTGTCTTCGCGACAGCAACATATGGATTTTTTCCAAAAATACAAATAACAAACTAATATGCCCGTAGCACAACCAAATAAAAATCCCATAATTAAAAACCAATAGGGTGTCATGGACGAGTACGTTTTGTTAGTCGTTTGTAAATCGTTAGTTAAAGTAATAGAAGAATTTTGAATTTCGTTATTGCATTTAGGACTTTCCTTGAACTTTACATAATCCTTTGAAGAATGCGTACGAACTTTCGAATCCATCAATGGCTTCAATATCATCTTCTCGAATTTCTTTGGCCCTTGCGATGTTTTATTGCAAATCGGGTCATATTCCACGTGCCTCAAACGTAGATTATTTTCCAGATCGTATATTATTCCATTGCAAGACCATGGATTTCTGAGAAAAATAAGATATGTGTTATAATTATTACTATTATAACATAATTATTATTAATGTTACGTTATCGTTTCAGTCGATAAGGTAGATTGCAATGCATACAATGTTAGGATAAAGCAACGAGAGATTCTTTCAATGATAATTGGCGATCTTTTATTACCTTATAAAAGATCATTCCCGTTTATTTCGGACTAAAGTCGTTGAGCTAATTTAGTTGACAGTTAGAACTAATGGAACCTTACATACAATGAACATGCATATAAAGTAGGTTGAAGATGTCAACGTACCCTTCCAACAATAGTTTCCTTAAGAAATGCAAGGGCTCGAGGATAACGTTATCTAGCTGAATCATCAAGTTGTTTGTGAGATCGAGGCTTCGAAGATGAGTCAGTCCAGCGAACGTGTCCAAAGGTATGTGACTGATTTGACACGAGCGCATATCCAATTCCTAAATAAACAATTCCTCATAGATTATAATGAATTTATACAAATATGATTCATTCGTCGGGAATTCTATGTTATATGTCCGAAGATTTACATAACAAAGTATACAGTACTTACCGTCAACCATGGGCATTGCAATTTCGGTACGTGTGTGTTAAAATTGTTCCTGGATAATTTCAATACACGTAGATTCTTGGTTTCAAGAAAGATGTCTGGGAGAAGATGATAGAGATGATTTCTTGAAAGATCTAATACTGTCAGCTCGGTGATCTTAGAAAAAGCTTCTAAACTAATATCACTGATTGCATTTTGTGACAAATTTAGATATTTCAGATTTGTCAACCCGGCATCCTAAAAAATAATATTGCGTAATAGAAAAAAGTCAGTAGAATTATAAAACAATTAGCACACACACACACACACACGCATGTTCCAGAGTTAAAACAAGATTACCTTTCATCATCGTGTGAATATCATAAAAAACTAATATTTTTATACTTACTGCAAGTTCACCGGCTCCTAAAGAAGATATCGAATTGTCTGATAAATCTAAAGCTTGTATAAAATTGGGTGCACCGGTATGAATACTGTAAATACGTTGTCCAACACAACTGGCACGTTTCAAACTGTACCAAATGTCACAATCACAGAGAACCGAACAAGAATAATCGGCAAGAACGAGAGAGGAAAGGATAGTGATCGAGCCAAGGATCGCGAGAAAACGCGAACTTGCGATTATCCGGCAATTCATATCGAGTTTCACAGAATAGAGAAGCGTAAGAAGATACTTTGTTGTCTCATTATTACGGCTCGACACGATTTGTAGCTCGATAGAACGAAAGAGACGGTTTTAATAGAGGTGGCATACACGAGAAGAAGAACACTCGCGATAGACATGTAATCTTATCTCTTTGGTTACATATATACGTACACATGTACACACATGTATACATATATGCATTTAGATATATTAATATGTGTGTCCGATATGTTAAGTATTAAATAAGCCTCTCCCAAATTTTGTATTTATACATAAATAAATACATACACATACATAAATATATAATGCGCGCGCAGAACGCATTCATGCACGCACACGTATACATGTATAATATTTGTAAGATTACAAAGCCCCTCTTAAGTTTTTGTTTTGTTTATTATTAGACAGTTCAAATTCCAAAATACATTTTAACTTTGACCACTTTCTCTTTTTCTTGTGTCCCTTTTATAAAGCTGTAATTTAAAGAAGATATTTACAGTGCAAAATAAATAAAAAGAAAAAGAAAGAAAGAGAAAGAGAAAAAGAGAAAGGAGGGTAGTTAAGGAGGGTAGTATCATTAAATTTGAAACGTTTCTAGGAAGATCATTGTCGTGAACGATGAGAACGCTCGTTATTTGCACGAAGTTCCGAACGTTTGAAAATACATCGAAAAGGAAGTTGCTTAGGAAAAAATAAAGAGATTGATCGATTTCAAGGGCTTAGATCGTAATTTAAACGTATAGGTTGTTAAATGTTATTATAAAACAACTAAACGAATGGCGTTATTAGTAATCGTTTTTACTCAGGTAGAAACTATGTTTTCAATAGTTTCTCATCGAGCTTTTTTTTCTTTGCCTTTGATTTTTTTGTCAATTTCTTCTTCTTCTTTTTATTAGGACTTCGTCCTGTAATAATAGCTTTTTTATTACTATTTCCGGGAGCGATTTATTGTTTTTACACCGAGGGTAGGTTGTTAGCCTCACCCTCTTTCTGTCATTTTGATTATATGAATTAATTGTATCTAACAAATGCGTCTCATAGTTCAATTCGAAAAAAATGAAAAAAATCATCTTCAAATCATTTCAAATTTTTGTTATTTTAAAATCTAGAAAGTATTAACCTTTGGAACTAAATCTTATTAATAATACATTAAGTAGACTAATATTTAA